GGTTGGCTTCAATTTTTCGTTCCGTCAGGTAGAAACCGAGGAATTTTCCCGCCTTAACCCCAAATGTGCATTTCTCAAGGTTGAATCTCATTCTGCATTGTCTCGCTTGGGCAAAGACCTTTTTGAGTTGGGCAGTATGGTCAGTATCTGTTTGCTATTTGACTATCATGTCGTCCATGTATACCTCAAGCATATCTCTAATCTCGTTGCAGAAGACTCTATTCACCATTCGCTGGTACGTTGCCCCTGCGTTTTTCAGGCCGAAGGGCATTACATTGTAGTAGTAATTGCCCGAGCTGGTCATGAAAGCAGTGCAATGCTTGTCGCTCATCGTCATTGGGATTTGGTTATAGCCCGAGTAGGCATCCATAAACAATAAAATTTTATAGCCGGCCGAATTGTCGACCATCATGTCAATATTAGGTAAAGGAAAAACGTCTTTGGGACATGCCCGGTTAAGATCAGTATAGTCAACACACATTCTCCATTTTCCATTATTTTTCTTAACGAGTACAACATTTGAGAGCCAGGTTGAATACTGGGCCTCAAATAAAATTAGCCTCTAGGAGGTCTTTTACAACATTTTCAGCAACCTCTTCTTTCTCGGGAGATGGCCTACATCTATATTGTACTACTTCCCTAGCGGCTGGATCAATGGCCAAGTGGCGACAGGTGACCTCGGAGTCGAGTCCAGGCATCTCTGTGGTGCTCCACACAAACAGGTCTGCATTCTCCCTCAAGAAAGCTTTGATCTTCTTCCTCGCCAAGTCGGGGAGTCCGGTGCCGATCTTCACGCCTTTCTGAGGGTCTCCACCGAGGGGGACGAACTCGAAGTCTCCATCCGGAATCGGTCGAAAGAGTTCATGTTCGCCATTGGGGGCTTCTTCCTTGTTGAAGAGGGTGTCGAGCAAGATGGAATCGACCTTGGGTGGAGCTCTTTGCTCCTCTGTCTTGACAGGCCGTGGTTCAAGTCGAGAAGTAGCAGCTCTCTTGGCAGGCCGTGCCCTGGTGTCAACTGTACTCTGTCCCTTGGAAGATGCGTTGAAACATCTTCGGGCAACTGAGATATCGCAGTGGATGGTGGCGACGCGCCCCCTCTTCATGTAGAATTTCATCTTCAGATGGACAGTGGAGGGCACAACGGTCAATTCGGCCATCGTTGGTCTCCCTAGGATACAGTTGTAGAGAGATGGACAGTTAATGACCAGAAATCGCACCTTGACCTTCCGGGATGCTGTTTCTTCCCCGAAGGTGGAGAAAAGTTCAACGTACCCCCATGGTTTGAAGGGAAAGACATTGAAGCCTTGCAGGTCGGACCCCACGTATGGAGAAAGGTGGGTATCATCGAGCTGTAAGGTTCAGAACAAATGGTTGTACATAACATCGACAAAATTCCCTTTGTCGACCAAGACACGGTGAACATCGAAATTAGCCATCCTTGCCCTCACCAGCAGAGGGATGCTCGAGTTTGGGGCCCCTCCAGGCAACTCTTCGAGGTAGAATGTGATTGGTTCTGATCTGCCCTTGACCTTCTCAAATGTCACCGCTTGAGTCGGGGCCGCGTCAACCAACTCGTCGAGCTTCCTTTTTGTGAAGTTTATGGAGATGTCATTGAACCCCCCTCCAGTTATAACCATGGAGGAGGGGAATTTATCCCACTTGTTATGCACGAACAAAGGTTCTTCCTCGTATCTGTCGGGGACGTAGAAGTCCTTCGGCCTTGTAACGGAGAAAGCTATCGGAATGAGGGTCGTCTCATCCGATTGTCGGGTGTCCTCCTCGACCTCTTTTGTCTCGCGGGCATCCCGATGAGGGGCGTCATTGCATCGATATTTCCCGAGTCTTCCACCCTTGATGAGGGTTTCAATGGCGTCTTTGAGATGGACTCAGTCTTCAGTCAGATGCCCGTGGCTCCGGTGGTACTGACAATATTTTCTCCTATCAGCCCCGAGCTTCGCGGGAGCAGATCGAGGCCGTCTGACTCCGCCGTCCTTGTAGTCGGTATTGGAACACTCTGCCAGGATGCGCTCGCGTTCAGTGTTCAACGGAATGTATTCGGTGAATCTCCCCACGCCCCCCTGTGCTCGCGGGGATCATGGGGCTTGTCGTCCCTTCTATTCTCGCCCGTTCGTCGATGAGGTTCTGCGCCCTGGTGTCACGGGGTGTTGGTTGGTTCGTGGTTCCTTGGGTTATGGGCTTTGTTGGCCACTTCCCTCTCCTCATAGTCTATATAGGCCTTAGCCTTTTCGAGGAGAGTATCGAATGTATGGGGTGGTTTGATGCCAACGGACTTCCTAAACTCTGTGCCCGGGAGAAGTCCTCTCTCGAGCAGATATCATTTCATGTGATTGATACAGGGGACCTGAATGGCCTCGCGGTTGAACTGATCTATGAACTCCCTGAGGGTCTCGTTGCTTCTTTGGATGATAACTTCAAGAGCAACCTCAGTCTTCAGATGTCGACGAGAGGTTGTGAAGGAGCTGATGAACTGGTTCTTTAGGTTTCTCCAGGAGGTGATCGGCCTTGGGGCGAGGTTCTTATACCAGTTTATCGCAGTCTTTCTTAATATCATAGGGAACAACCGACGCTTGATTGGCCCCCCGATGTTATGGTAGTGGAGCATTGCCTCAAACTCGTCGATATGGTCGACAGGGTCCACAATACCGTCGTATTCCTTTAGTTGGGGAGGTTTCTCCATCCCTGGGGGAATGGGTGCTTCCATAATTGCATGGGATAACAGATCGCGGGGGTCTTCTTCGTCGCTTATGTCCAGAAAGCGGGAAGGTGATCTGTTGTAGTGGCGGTCATGGTGGCAGCCCTGGTCGCGGGGAGGATCCCATGGTCGGGGTCGCGGTTCTCCATTTATTTCTATTTCCAGAGGGTCGTCGTTCTTGGCACGGGGGGACGTGGTCGCGTCTCCCTGTATCACCGGGCTGATTCCTCTCCAATGCGGGGCATCGCCCAGTTCGACGGAGAGAGGGGCTTCGTGAGGCATCCCGTCTGTGTCTCTGCGGAGGAGTTTGGGAATGTTCCTCTATTTATCGGGGAGAAGGAGAATCAGGTCTCTTGTGTCTTCTGGGGGCTTGACGAGTGTCCTCGAGCATCCTTAGTCGCTCGCCTTGCGAGAAGATTAAGTAATTTATCTGGTTAATAGCCACGAATAGAGTCCTGGTCGTGGCGTCAACGCCTGCAGGGACAAGGACCTCCTAGAACGCATTCAGTTGATAGTTCTGAGTAGGACGATGATCGTCTTCGTGTCACCGAGACAAGGATGATGAAGAGGCAGTCAGTCAGTCTCTATAGTTCAGCGAGGGACCGTGCATACCGACAGCATGGTCAATGTTATTGCCAGCGTTGTTATTATTACCAGCGTTGTTGTCGCCGACGTTGTTGTTGATGTCGGCGAGGTGGGCATCTTGGTTATTTTCTGCAACTGGATCGACCATGACAATCAAGAATTTAGAGTTGCTTTTATCTTAGTTAAATGAAAGACGGGGAAGCTAGTTTTCCACAGACAGTGTCATTAATCCTACCTGACCAGAATGGATCTCAAGACCTTACGTCGAGTAGAGGTTGGAAGTGAGACGGGGGTACCTGCAAGACACTCTGATGCCAAATTAAGTTTTAGGGAGAGTGCAAGCAAGTGTGAGTATGAGTATGAAAGAATGAATACCTGACCCTCTCAAAGGAGATGGTATTTATAGCCCCCAGCGCTGGGTCAAGGTCTCTAATGTTGGGCCACGATGACGCTCAATAAAGAAGATTGCCAAGGCTTACGTGTGTATGGAGGCCAGCACGTGGCCTCCCCCCTGGTTGGCTGCCCCGAGAAAGCAGGAGTTGGACCTGGTATTCTCGGAGGGCAGGAAGGTGGTGACGATAAGGGTACATGGGTCACGTTCCCCAACGGACACATGAGGAGTTGCCCAACGGTGCCTAACTTGGACTGTTTGCTTTTGAGCCTTGTGCAAAGGTGTTTGATTGGGCCTCCCTAACAATGGGGCAAGTGCGGGCTCAGTCCAGATCAAATAGCATCTATAAACTTACAATACAGAAAAACTTAAAAACTATAGGCATGTCCGACGGGGCGAACCTATTTTTTTGACGGGGCGACAAAAATGTAAGATTATAAATAATTAATCTTTTACTTATTCTTTTATAAATAAATTAAAACGTTAAATTTGTTGTTTAAGAGAGTCGCAACAAGAACAAAGATAAAAAATAAGGATAAAGTCAGGGTATAAATTTAAAACGTTAATTAATTAATTTACTTACCAAATCAATTTTATTTTATTTTTACAATTTACTTATCACATTCTATTTTTCAAGAATTTTTTCCTTTAAGTTTTCCAACAATTGTTACTTGTTCAAGATTTGTCAGAAATTTGTTATAAAACTTAACCGTGTTTAAATTTATTTTCTATTAAAGGATAAAATCATATAATATCAAATAGCATCAATAAATTTACAATACAGAAGAATTTAAAAATTATAGGCATGTCCGACGAATTGAACCTATTTTTCCGACGAAAATAAAATATTTACTTAAATTGAACAGATATTAGAGATAATATGTTTAATAACTTATGAATTACTATAACATATAACTTCTAAATTATTATCTTTATTTAATATTTATAACAATATTGCACAACACATGTAGCTATTTATATCGACTTTACGCGACCCGTGCGAACACACAGATCCTATACATTTCTTAACCATCATTATACTATTTTTATTTATTATTTATAACAATATTGCATAAACATGTAAACGCACGGGTAGATAATCAATTTTATAGAAACAGAAGCAATGAAAACAATATCGATCGATATTTAGTTGTATGTGAAAATCAATAAGTGGTAGTAATGCTACAACAAAATAACAGAATGTGAAAATCAAAGATAGCTCAATGAAACAAGAATTGATAAAACCTTTTGATGAACTTCATCTTAATTCGGTTAAAGGAACTAATGGAATACAACAATGTAGTTTACAAATCACCTAACATTGTTGTCTCCAAACATTTTTTGACCTTTTGATCTTTCAATTGATACAGTTTTCTGCAGCCGAATCTGAGCTTTGAACTTGGCTATAAATTCACTAGCTTTCTTATCAACCTCAGAGTCCAATCCTGAATCATTCACATATTCGGACACCCTATCATCGTCCGAGCTACCCTGGATGCTCTCGAGTTTGTTATCAGAGTCTTCTTTATTCACATTCTTCGATGGTTCTGGTTTATCTCTCTTACGATGGCTCGAAAACGTACCCTCGTTATGGTTAGGAAAATAGCAATCGAGAGTATTCTTACTGATCCCTTTTAATATCGAATCAGGTTCTCTACTTTTCGGCTTCTTTACAACAACCTTATCATCATTAGCTTGCTTGCTAGATATTTCATCGATTTTTTTTGTTTCGGAAGTCAATCCACTGACTCTTCTTGTTCTAACCGATTTCCCCTTCGCTAGAGCTTTTGCTAAGCTTGTAGGCTTGTTGTCTGAGTCCGAGTTCAAACCCTGCATCACTGACTCTTCGTAGCGAGGTGGATCCTCACCAACAATTCCACCTTTACTCTTCAAGTCATCATGAAGCAAGCCGTTGATACTATATCCACGATCTTCAAATGGTTGCAATGAAGTTTCTCCGTTTCTTCTAGCCGAAGATGATGGCGAACTTGAAGAAGAAGAAGACGAAGAAGATCCATGCAAGCTCTTCTTTTCCCCTAAACCTTCCTGCGGCAAGTTCATATTCTCTGATGAAACTGAATCTAAGGAAGAACGCATACTCGTGTTACTCGTATGAGATGAGAAAGATCCCATAGATTGCAAAGACCGTGAACTACGTGATTCAAGCTGAATTTCATCGACAGATATTGGCCTAAAATGCGAAGGATGAGGAACAGCAGCATATCTCCCTCTAGTTTCCATCGTCTCGTTTCTCGAAGACACCTGCGAAATCATCTTCACCAAATCCATTTCCTCGAAATTCATATCTTCAGAAACAGGCACAAAGGAATTCTTCTTTTGTCCTAAATCTTCCACATGGAAATCCACATTTTCGGTCGCATGCACATACGAAGTGTTCTTCTGCTCCATATCTTCTTCTCGGGAATCCATATTTTCTGAAGTATGCAAAGGGAAACTCTCTTTTTGTGCCTTAATATCTTCCTCTTGGAAGTCTATAGTGTCCGAAGAAATTGAATTCACGGAAGAATACATTCCTGCAGACTGCGAACTATGCGATTCAAATTGAGTTTCATCGGCAGACTTAGTCCTGAAATTTACAGGATAAACACCATCAGCATGTTTCCCTTTTGTCGCCATCCTTCTGTTTCTCAAAGAACGGCCCTCGGAAATCTTCTTTCCCAAATCTCTTCTTTGAATCCTTTGTTCCACATCTTCCTCTTCAAAAATCATATTTTCCGGAGCAGGCACAAAGGAAGTCTTCCTTTGTCTCCCGTCTTTGTCTTGAAAACTCTTCATTTCCGAAGCATGCACAAACGAAGACTCCTTTCGTGTCATTTCGTCCTCTTCGAAAATCATGTTTTCCGGAGCAGGTACAAAGGAAGTCTTCCTCCGTCTCACCTCTTTGTCTTGAAAATTCTTCATTTCTGAAGCATGCACAAACGAAGACTCCTTTCGTGACATTTCTTCCTGTTGAAAGTTCACATTATCTGACGCAATCGATTCAAACGAAGAATACATCCCGGCATGAGTAAAGAAAGACGCTGTAGATTGTAAAGAGTTCGATCCAAGTCCATCAAATTTAGTCTCATCAACCGAAACAGAACTAAACTGCGAAGAACCATTAACATTGCCATAAACTTTCTCCCTTTCCATCCTTCCAAACCTCGAATTCCAATCAATAGGCGAAACTATTCCATCACCAACACCACCAACAGCAGCATCATTAAATTCTTTCTCCAAATTAGTAGGATCCATAACCCCAAATTCCCTGTCTTCACTCATATCTAGCCTCTTCGAAGAACGCATCAAACCTAAACTCAAATCACTCGCATTCTCATCGACATACCTTAAACCATCCACTTCTCTTTCAACCAATTTCAAACTTCGAACCGGTAATCCAAGAGGCTTATGACCAACAACCTCACCAGATTGACCATTATCATAGTAAGGTTGAGCAACAACAACAGGCTCACTATAATAATACTCAGAATTCCAAGATTGAACCACATTGGTTCCACTTCCATCATCAAATCTATCATCAAATCGAACCGAATAACCGAAACTATCCTCAGAATTAGACAATTTTTGAGTTTTGTACTGTTCATCAAAAACACCGACAGTACTATTAGTATTACCCTCAAAATACTGAGAATTATTCCAATGCATCATCTTATTCTCATCAAATCCATTTTCAATTTCAGACTCATCACCAAAAATAGTTGAAGCAGGAAAAAACTTGGAAACATAACTAGGTGTTGTAGAATTATTACTATTACTACTATCACCACTAGGTTGAGTTTCTAAATTAGTTTCTAATTCAGCATTTCTTCTACTAAAAAGACCATAAGCAACAACAATGCCAATGAACAGAAGATGAAGAAGCTCCCAAAGCTTGGTGAGTATGGTTTGGTTCAAAAACTCAGGAGCTTGTGAGGGAAAAAGTGGAAGAACAACGACAAAAATTGCTAAAAATAGAAACTTTATTACGAAATCTGAACAAGAGTTACCTTTTTTGACTGGTTTTGGTTGGATCTGTAAATGGGGTTTGGGGATAGGGATTGGATCCGCCATTGATGAGGTTTGAGAGAAATGGGTGTTGTTGGGATTTGTGAAATGAAAATGGAAATTGAAGAAAAGAAGAGACTTTGGTTGAGAAGGAAAAAGTTAGGGACAAACATGGAAGAAAAATGTTTAAGGTAAATGTTTTTGGTTGGTACAATGTGGTAGAATTCAAAAAGTGTCTTTGTCAATTATTACCGTTTGTTTTGAATGACGGTTTTGCCCTTGTGGTGGTTTGAGTTTTACTATGTTTGGAATATTATTTGAGAACGGTTTTTGGGTCATTAAAAGACTATGGTGTTACGTTATTTTTTATACTTGAATGAGTTGGGTCATGGAGAAAAGAATCTTTGTGTTAATTAACCGTTAAGTAATCAATTGTTTCATGTTGTATGTTTACCAAACTAAGTAATGTTCATCTAATTTTTGAATGATCATGTAAAGGAGATCTAGTAGGATCTTTCAATACTTTATTTTCAATGTAAAATTGATACTTTAGGGGGGAGAAATCCATGATGGGAAGGGAATTTCATTGAAATTCTGTGTTGCATTAGTTGTGACATGTTAAAAAAGAATAGTAGTGATATGTTAAAAAAAATTGAGTGAATTTTGTTGTCTACTGTGTCCTTTAAGGCTCAATAAATTAATTTTTGTAATTGTGCGCAAAAGATACGTTATTTATATCAAAATAATTGTTTCATATAAGATGAGTTATTGAGAGAGAGTTTTTCATGGTTTTTAAGATGATGATCGAGTAAAAAATGAATTTGGGATTGAAGATGAATTTTTTAAATGAGTATGTGTTTGGTGGATCTTTTGATTTTATTTGGATTTTAATATGAATTTTTAGAGTTTATTGACGAATGTTTATGAAGATGACGATGAAGATGAAAAAGGAGAAGAGGGAAGAAAATGAAAAAAATGTAAAAAATAAATAAAAATGGGTTGGTGATTTATACTTAGCTTCAATAATTCTACAAAATTCAACCGTGTATTACTTATTCAAAAATCATGTTTAGGCTATAAGATTCAAATTGGATTTCTAATTCAGTGTCAGTTAGTTCATCACAACTAGCTTATAATGATGTATTGTTTAGGCTAGGACTTTGATAGATATATGCTTTATTTATGGTTTAAAACCTCGAAGTAGGAACAATAAAGTTTCACGTGAATACTATAATCCTTGGTGTTTTGTGAGATAGTTTGGACTCCTTCATCATATTTTGCTCAAGTAAAACTCAACGGTACCAACTTTTGCAAGAGTTTCTTGAAGTAATCAAAGTAGACAAGGTTGTTCTCCTCAATAAGAAAACAGTGTAAGTGTTCAAGATGTCACCATATTCTTCCTTGCATTGAGAGACATTAGACTTTGTCAACTAATGACCATCAACAAAAGATAATATGTTCAAGGATATGGACATCAAGGACTTTAGTCTTTGCCTGGTAGTTGATTTATATATCAAAGAACCAACTCAAAATAGGGATCCATTGAATATGGTATACCTTCATGCTACCAAATCAACAACTAGGAGTAAAAATCCATTGGCTACCAAGATTGGTAATATCATAATTTCTTCGGAAAATCCGATAAAATGGGAACATATCTATGAAGGAGCGAGAAAGACGATATTATAAGATTGCTATAGAAAAATATATATCTATTTACTTATGTGCCTTCAAATATGTATGGAATAGATAGATATGTGATTTGTCATTACTTCACCCTCAAAATAGGGTCCAAGCCTATTATCTAGAGGAAATAAAAGGTACGAGAAGAAAAAATAATCTCTATCACGGAGGAGGTTAAAAAGTTAAAAGAGGCTAGGTTTATCGATGATATTAAATATCCTTCTTAGTTATCAACCAAAAGATGGTGAACCAAATACTATAGACTATATGTTGGTCAAGACCCTGAAGAGAAGAACCATTGTGGAGACTTTAACGACTATTGGAATCAGTGATAAGGTATAACATACATGTGAACCCAACCAAATACTCTATTGAGGTTTAAGCCGGAGGATTTCTAGGTTTCATGCTCACAGGAAATTGAATTGAAGCTAACCCTTATAGGTGTCACACCATAATTAACATGAAGAGTTCTAACTCACTTAAAGAAGTATCACAATTAACAAGGAGGATTATAGCTCTCTCCAAATTCTTTCTTGTTTAGGTGACAAATCACTCAATTTCTTCTCAAGATTAAAGCAGAAATAAAAGTTTTAATGTGAATATGCTTGTGTAAAGCTAAATATATTTCCAGCTACCCTTTCGTTTTGTCTCGCCAAAAGGAGTGAGTACCTTTATAGCTAGTACAAGAAATATAGTGTGAAGACGACCAATTTACTTTGTAAGTAGGGTGTTTAAAGAGTCTAATTAAGACATTAGAAAATTCAGAGGTTAGCGTTGGGAGTCATCATTATGACAAGGAAAAAAAAAACTTATTTCCAAGGGCATCAAGTCATACTAAAAAACAAATTATCTTATTCGCCACATGTTGAAAAAGCAGGGTTGGCAGGAAAATTGCTCTCATAGGTGATTGAATTATTTAAGTATTATAATCACTTTTGTGGCAAGAAGTAGCATCAAATCTCAAGATCTCGCCGACTTTCGATGGATTTCTGCTCACATCCTAAGGAAAAAGATCCACACTCCTGAAATTTATCTATGAATGGATCTTCCAATTTGAAGGGATAATGTTTCCTAGAATAAAATTATCAAAAAAATTGTTGGCCGAAATTCCATAAATTTTATATTTAAGTTTCATCATAACTAATTATAATAATTTTATTTGATTTAAAAAGTTAGGTTAAATATGTTTTTCATTCCTATAAATATCTCAAATTTTACTTTTAGTCCCTATTAAAAATAATATATTTTAGTTCCTACAAAATTTGTATGCATGCAATTTTAGTCCATACTATTTTTTAAAATTATGAAAACGGTTTAATTACCCTTAAACTTTTAAATTTTTGAATAATTCTTTTCATGCATGTTTAGAATACTGTAAAAATTTCTTTGCCAAATTATAGATTTTTTTTTTTAAAATGAGAAGAATTAAATATGAATTTTTTAAATTTCAAAAAATAATGATTAAAGTAATGGAAACTTCGACTTAGAAGTCAAATTTTGAGTTCTTTTTTTTAGGAACTTTTAATAACATTCTAAAGATGTTTGCAAAATAATCATTTAAAAATATACATTGATTTAATATGAGAGACTAAAACTACGTGCATAATAATTTTGTAGGGAGTAAAAAATACATTTTTTTTAATAAAGGCTAAAAATGAAATTTGAGATATTTATAGAGACCAAAAACACATTTAACCCTAAAAAGTTTAATTGATATTTATTAGTTAAGTTAAATTAATATTAACTATTTGTTTAAGATTTAACCTTTGTTCATCAGAATTATTTGTATTTTTTCATAATATGTTATGTAAATAAATTATTGAAATTTTCGTAAATTAATAATTAAAAAAAAATTCTTCTTAAACATACTCTAAAAAAATTAAATGTATAGTTCATATCAAATTAAAATACATAAAATATTCAGGTAAAATAATTAAAAAATAATAGTCTTGTAAAAGTTTACCGCAACCAGTGATCACCCAAGCATCATTTAAATATTAGAAAACGTAAGAACTCAACGTGGCAAATGGCCACGATTTTCTAACTATAAAATTTGAGGGTTTCTTAACTCACCTCGTAACCTTCTTAGCGCACTGTTTGAATTTCTTAAAATGTCTTCAGATTTCAAAAATGTATTTTCGAAAGTACCCCATGTAACACCCTTCTAAATCCACTTATTTTCGCATGTATTCTTACGAAATAAAACAAATTAAAAACCACGAAAGGGCGTCACATCTTCATGTAAACGCCATACCAAACATAATCCTGCTCCGTAACACGGGTTTCAAAATTATTTAGGATAAAATGCTTCATGGATAATAATCAATAGAAATATTCGTACCTCTCACAGCAGAATTCATAGTTCAAAACATCTTATTATAAATACTTCATAAAATCTCATCATACTTCATGATTCATAAATAGAATTTCAAAATAACTCGGGTACCGTGAAAGGTAACCCAACATCTTAGAAACCAAAACAAAGAACATTGTTCATAATTCGAACGATCCCATATCTGATGTTACATATCAGAGCAAGACCCATTCTATTCAATATAAAGCAAATAAACATACTCCGAAGCTATCCTCTAATGCTTCGTCGGGCTAATACTGATCACCTGCAAGTTACCCACGGATAGAGGCAACATTTTCAAGCAGAAAGGGTGATTAAATCATAATCATTATAAAATAAATAAGGAATAAACATAGTAGATATGCACATAGGTAAGGCATCACACATCATTAGAACCTCATGCTATACTCAGAACTTCACAACTTCATCAAAGTAACACAACATATCCTTACAGGCCAATCATCACCAAGTATCACCAAATCTAATCATTATGCAATGTCACAGAATTTAATGCGACTTCATAAAATCATGCATGTGATACCAAAACTTCACTAATGACTCAATCACCGTTATCTCTAAAGATCCCCACCAATAGAATCGATTCCCGCTTAGAACCAGAACACTTCACAATTTTGCACTCAATCCATACTATAAGATTGATGCCTTCACTGGACTATTATCCTACAATCATCACTGGACCAAAGTCCTAATCACCATCACTGGATCGAAGTCCTAAACTATGCTATGAATGCATGATGCGCAAAACATAATAAATATAACCACAACTAGTCAAAACGCATAATCATTCATAATTTCATCACAACATCTTTATATCATCATAATAAACCACACATCATTATAACATCATCATGTAAACAAAACATCATCATAACAACATTGTTCCTTCCAACCATTTCTCTGTTTCATATCAATAACAATCATAATGGTTAGAAACTATCTCGACAGTATTCCACTGTCATACCCTACAGATTCAATAACGTGGCCGGACGGACCGACCTGCTCTGATACC